GGCCGGCGACAGCCCGGGTCCCTGGGGGCGCCCTCCGCGCCGCGCCCCGGAGCCGAGCCCCGCGGCTACTCACCTCGACACGCAGCGACTGCAGCGGCGGCGCCTCCGCGACTCGGCCGCGCGCTACCGGGTGCCCGGCGGTGCGCTCGCTCCGCCAGCGCCCCGGTCCCCGCCCCGCCCCGCTCCGCCCCGGGCCGCCCTCACTGGTCCGCTCGCGGCCAGGCCCCGCCCACAGGCCCCACGCCCCGCCCCTCCCGTCCCCGGGCCTCCCTGAATGGTCCGCTCGCGGCCCGACCCCGACCCCCAGGCTCCAGGCTCCGCCCCTGGCCGCCCTCACTGGTCCGCTCGCCCCAGGCCACGCCCCCAGGTCCAGGCCCCGCCCCGAAGAGGGAGCCTGCAGGGCGCGCCCCTGCCTTACAAGGCCGGCTGGGCCTGGGCACCGCGGCCGGCGGCTTCAGCGCACAGAGCCGTGGGAACCCCGCGAGGCGGTGCCCGCGGGGCCGCAGCTGGCACTCCGGGGCCCCGCAGGACGCGGGCGGAGGATGAATGGGCGCGCGGACGGGCCTTCCCGGGCGGGGGCGCTGGCCTCTCCGCGGAGACGCTCGGGCCGCGAGGGGCTCGGACCGCACAGGGGTGCGCAGCTAGGGGCGGGGAGTGGAGCCGCGGCCCGAGAGCTCGGGGACACGGGGGGCCGGGGCAGCGAGCGCCTGGGTGGGGCGCCGAGGCGCGGAAGCAGAGCCGCGCCGGGCACCGGGCGCCGTGCGCAGCTGGGCCGCCTTTCCCGGGGACAGGCGGCGGCTGCGCCCCAACCTCAGCCCACTGCCCAGCTTTAGGCCTTCTCTCTTCCTGGGGAAAGACGATGTGAGCGTCCCCTGGTTACCTGGGTGAGAAACGCCGTCCTGAAAGCCGCCTCCAGTTTCTGCTCTGACCCTTCCCCAACGGGCTGGCTCTGCGATGGGGAGGGGCTGTGTCAGCTTTCAGCAGAAGCTGCTTGCTCAGCAGGAGGTGGGGGGGTACTGGTCTGAGTGCTGGGACTTGGGGTGCAGGGGTCTCCCTCTGGCCCCCAGGACCCCTCCAGTGGAGGAGGTCTCCTCAGGCTGTTGAGAGGCTCAGCCTCTTAGGGGAGGGTGACCTTTAGGTCACTCCCAGCTTCACTGCTTTGGTTCCCTTGGAGCTGGCCAAGGAACCACCCCCCGGGGTCTGTCCTCACCATCCTGGCTGCAGAGCACCCCCACACTCCCACAGGTGTCCTACTGGCAGCATGTGCCTTGAGACCCAAGTGCCTGTGGCAGGAGTCAGCATGTGGGAGCACAGCTTCAGGCTTCACCTCAGATCCCAGCCAAGTCAGGGAGCCTGGTAAAGGCAGCAGACGAAGTTGGGGTGCTGAGCCAGAAAAGGGGCGATGGGTGTTGGCTGTCCGCCAGGCCACCAGCTCATGAGTGAGAGGAGGTTTTTTTCCTGCTCAGGGAGCCAGGGAGGGTCACGTCGCTGAGGAGGGCTGGTGCTCAGCCCCACCCTGCACTGCAGTGGGCCTGGGACCTCTCCGCCCCTCCAGTTTCCAGTTGTGCTAAAACTGGCCCAAAAACGGGCTTCTCATTCTGATCACTCAGAAAAGTCCCACACTCCAGAGCCAGATAAGCCTGAAAAGATCTGGGACAGCCAGCTCAGGTATGTCTCCCAAGCCCCCGCTCTGCTGCCTCACACTTCTGCTGTTTAGGTTGAAGCTGCACCGTGCCTTCTCTGTCCACAGGGCCCTAAGCACTGCTATGGCCGGGAACTATCAACAATGCACATGAAATAACAGCATTACTATTGGGTTGTCCGAAAAGTCATGACGTATTTTGTCTATGTTTTTCAAAGGTCATTTATTTATATAAAGAACAAAGATCAATCAATGATATATTGCCCATTTTGTTCAATAACCTTTTGCCATCTTTCAGGGAGCTTCATAATTCCTTGTTCATAGAAGGACCTGTCTTTATTTGTGAAAAACTGAACACAGTGCTGATTTACAGCCTCATCTGACTTGAACGTTATACCACGCAAGGAGTTTTGAAGAGAGTGAAACAAGTGGAAGTCTGGCGGTGCAAGGTCAGGCGAGTATGGTGCATGTGGTAACACATCCCATCCAAGCTCCAATCATTTTTGACAGGTGATCAAACGTGTGTGGTCTCGCGTTGTCGTGATGGAACACAACTCCTTTACGATTAACGAGCTCTGGACGTTTCTGGGTGATGGATTGGTTCAAACTGTCCAATTGCCGACAGTACACATTCGAATTGATTGTTTGGTTCCTTGGTAGGAGCTCGGAAAACACACCTTTAAAATTCCATCACACTAAGAGCATAATCTTCCTCTCATGAATGTCTGTTTTCAATGTCGTTTGAGGTGAATCATCACGTCGGGACCAAGACCGTTTGCGCACCACATTGTTGTAAACAATCCACTTCTCATCACCAGTTATCAGTCACTTGAAAAAAGGATAATTTTCCTCACGTTTAATGAGCATATTGCAGATGTTTATATGCGCCGTCAAATGAACTTCTTTTGAGTTCATGTGAAACCCAAATATCGAGCTTGCTTATGTATCCCAGCTTCTTCAGGTGGTCATGAACGCTTGAAAGATGGATGCTCAATGTTTCTGCAATCTCTTGTGTTGTGTAACGTGGGCTTGACTCAATCAATGCCTTTATTTTGTCATCCTCAACCTCAGTGGGCCTCCCTGACTGAGGAGCGTCATTGAGATCAAAATCACCAGCATGGAATTTCGTGAACCATCGTTGACACTGACGTTCTTGTAGGGCATTGTCACCGTAAACTTTATGCAACTTTTCACAAGCTAGACGTGCGTTCTTCCCTTAATGGAAGTAAACAGTAGAATATGGCAAAAATGCACAGTTTGGTCTTCCATCTTCAATTGTAAAATCTTCAAAACTCAACCAAGTCGTTCATTTTTTTTTTAGAATGAAGTTAGAACTGTCATCTATCAAATGACACAGCAAAAACAGATGTGAATGACTCTAGTACTTCCATAAATGTACTAGTGCCATCTGTTGCAAACATGTGTCATGACTTTTCCAACAACCCAATATTATGTTCCCATCATCGTATTAGCCAGGTGACTGTTTAGTCTACTTTTCAGAACTTGCACAAGCGCTCTACATAAATGCGGTGACTTTGCCGATGGCAGAAGTGCTGTGGGAGATGAGCACTAGACTTCAGACGCAGAAATGTTCAAGGAACAGGGCCACCGGGAAGCAGGGGCGAGGTGTGGGGAGGAGGGTGCCTGGCAGCGGGCTCAGCACACCGGCCCCGGGACAAGCGTGGAACCTGGGCTGCAGCCCTGTGTTTTAGGCCTGGGGCTTCCTCACCTTCTGGACTTTCAGTGGCTCGAGCTGGAGTTGCTGTTGCGTCCCCTTCGTGAAGACTCCTGGCGGTCTGGGAGTGAAGTTTTGTTGTGAGTTCAAGGGTATGCTGTTTCATAACGGAGTCAGTTCAGTCCACACTTAGAAAATCACCTGAAATGGTGGCACAGGGTCTGACCAGGCTGGGAAAGTCCCCTTCACGATGGACTTGCACTTGTGATCCTGGGTCAGCAGCCGGACTCGCCCTGCCTGCTGGATGCGCTCTGGTTGTTAGGACTGGCTCGCAGCTGGCGGGTAAGTGTCTACACCTTGGCCACACTTAGGTTTTGCAGGTAAGCAGGAATCACCTGTTGTTTGTGGGGCACTGTTTCCTGGGGCCCAGGGAACAAAGGGCCACACGCTGACAGTTTAAACCGCAGAAATCCTCTCACAGCTCTGGGGCCAGAAGTCCCAAGTCAAGGTGTCAGCAGGCCACCCTCCCCCCAGAGGCTCTAGGGGTGACCCTCCTGCCTCCTACAGCCCAGGTGCACCAGTGTCCCTGGGCCTGTGGCCTTGTCACTCCAACCTCTTCCTCCATCTTCACGTGCCCCCGATACCACCCACCCCCATCTGTCTTCCCCGTGTGTCTCACAACGACACTCTCACTGGATTTAGGGCCACCTGGGTAATACAGGATGATCTCATGTCCAGGTCCCTAATTATATCTTCAGAGACCCTTTCTCCAAATGAAGTCACATTCTGAGGTGCTGGTGGCCTGTCACCCCAGGACAGATGTTCTTTCTGGTTCTCCCAGCGATGGTCGTCTCTGCCCGGCAGCCACCGCAGTTCACCAGCGGACACCCCTGGCTGCTCCCCCGGCTTCCTGAGCAGGTTTTGTGTTGCACAGCTGGGAGCATGTGTGCCAGGTGGCTTGGGGGGGGTGGGCAGGAGAGAGGCCCCACACCGGGTCCCCGCCAGCCCTCCACTGAAACGGCCACCGAAAGCCAAAGACTTAAAATTTGCTAAGACTGATTTCAAGTTTATCACTATTAATATTAATTTCTATTATTTTCTATAACACTTCCTAAAGAATCATGAAGAAGTTCTTAAACTCACACATTTATCAACATTATTAATCAACGAAAGTAAAAACATGGCCTTAAAATCCGCTGAAATAACCATGGCTACATTATTCTAGGACAGCGGATTTAAAGTGGACACTTGACTCAGTTTGGAAGCCATATTTTAAAGGGCATTCACAATTAGGAAGCCAAGTCCATGGTGGGGGTGAGGGGTGGGGGAGCATCTTGGGGGGTCACAGGCCCACCCCCTTCCGAAGCTCAATCTTCAGGGGACTCAATGCAGTGCCTGCTTCAGGCTCATCGGAAATCCTGAAGGCAGAGCCAAACTCCACGCTGCAGATCAGAGACACGTGGCTCCTGGTCCGTTCCTGGCCTGCCTGGCGGGACGGCTCGGTTCAGCACTGATGCACCTGCTTTGGCAGCTGGCTGGGCTCGCACACCTTCAGGATGGCCTGCGCCTCCCCAGCTCCTTCGAGGTGAAAAGTGGTGGACCTCATATGTGGGGCCTCCTGGCTCTCCGCGAGGGCATCCCTGGGCTGCTAGGATGGCCCATTCTGGCTGCAGCCATGCAGAGGGTTTAGGAGCAGAACGTGTCAGCAGCTGGGCTGGCGCAGGCCCCCCGGCTCCTATGGAACAAAGAAAGTCACTGTGAGTGCCACGAGGGAGGATGGAGGGGGCCTGTCAAGCCCTGGGCACACAGGAACAGAGCCCAGCTCTATTTACAACTGAGACCAAAGCCAGGTTCTAG